CACACACACATACACACTCTCTCTCTCTCTCTCTCTCTCTCTCTCTCTCTCTCTCTCTCTCTCTCTCTCACACACACACACACACAAACGCACACACACACACACACACACAAACGCGCGCGCACACACACACACACAACACATACGTATGTGTGTGTGTGTGTGTGTGTGTGTGTGTGTGTGTGTGTGTGAGAGAGAGAGAGAGAGAGAGAGAGAGCACGAGAGAGAACACACACACACACACACACACACACACACGAAAGAGGAAACACACACACACACACACACACACACACACACACACACACACACACACACACACACACACACACACACACAACCAGTGATGAGGAAAGATCATTCGTTATCACCTATTCATGTCTTGCAGCGTGGTCCTGCAAATGTGGTCGCCCGCTCAGGAGACACCGCATGTCTGCTGATCGCTGATCTTGCTGAAGCCAATGATCATTGACCTAATGACCACAATTGAGCCCATACAAGTAGTTGATGTCAACAATCTATAAACAGATGAATACACAAGCAAATCTATGGTTCATCTAATACAGAAGGACAGGGTCCACACACGCCTTCCAATTTCCAACTTCCACGTCTTGTTTCAAGTTGGAAGACCGTTTGGAATACCCCATGGCCCCACAGGAAACTCAACATTCGTCGGAGCCTGGATTAGGCGCTACGTTTCCACCCTGCATGGTGTCGAACAGCCCATCCAAACCTGCACAATTCCTAGCACAACCAATTGTCCTTAAACTTCTGCTGTTCAGGACTGCACAACCTTGTGGGCCCGAGAGAAACAGGCAGGGGTCCAATCGTCTTCACGGTGCAGCCTCCTTACTGCCCCTCTTGTGATCAAAGGGTGCTTACACCGCCAGTACCCTGCCATATATCGACCGTGGGACAAAATAAAGCAGACCCGTTTCCACTCGAATAAATTTGGGCGCTCCGGTCCAGGCTCGTTCATCCTTGCACGTTGCGGCTCCTATACGAGCCGCGACTCCAAGGCACACACAAGGTGCGACCAGGGATACGGAGACGAGGGAGTATGAAACAGGTGTTCTGTCTTAATATTCTCGGGGGAGTACGGAACAGGTGTTCTGTCTCCATATTCCCACTTTAGATCTCTCTCATTCCTCTTGACTGCTTCATGCATGCAATTTTCTACATCACCAGAGTCCGTTGCTAGCATACGTGAAAGGCGAAGTGATTTCCCAAAAGAAGAAAAGCCAAGCGAAGCGTCCTCCTACGTCAGAAGAAAGAACAATCAACGAAGTGAGACAAAACGGCTGAGCGCGGATCAGCAAACTGGAACTGAGCACTGAAACGCATCTGCTAGAGAAGCAGGGATGGAGATGGGAGGGTGTTGAAGCATCAATTCACTAACTGCCATCCTGCAGCTCTGTTCCCATTTTCTCTTCAACCACCACTACCTCCAAGCCTCTTTTTCCCGAGGTGGACGAGAACTGCACGCCAAGCTTTGCCGATGTGCCAGCAGGACCTTCTTGCTTTTCTTTTGGCCGGCGCCGCCAGCCTTTTTGGTCCCGTGGTGCCCGGCCTCCGAAGAATGAGGTATAGGTCATATTCACCCCGACTTAAGACTTCGCGACTGGAAGGTAGCGGTGGTTTATGCGGTATCGGCAACGATAGATCCGCCTTTGGTCACTATCCATCAGCTGTAGGCCTTCTCCTGGTTCCTAGTGAGAAGCGATACACTCGTACCTGACAACTGGGACCTGCTCCCCATTTCCTCTGCGTCAGAATTTGCAGGGATACCTCTCCCTTTGACTTTGACCTGGCACCGAACAGCTACCGTCTTCCCCCGAACATAACGCACCCTAAAAATGAATGTATACAAGCTATATTTCCGGCCAGATACAGCCAAAATAAGGGTGCGTTGTGTTCGGGGGAAGACGGTAGCAATGGATCTTCCTTTGACCAGTGTGCTGCTGCAGCAGTGCTCCTCGTTTGCTTCCCAACTTCCAAGGGGAATGGGACAAGGAAGTTGGTCCTGGCACTGGAATAGGAACTGAAAACGGGACTGCAAGAACTTCAACAACAAGCACAGGAGGAGAGATCAGACATCAGATGATGTAAATTCCATATAGAATCCATGCGGCTTGTTGAGCCAAGCACACACATATGCAAACAAATATGGCTTCCTTCTGTTCAGCATGCAAAACACCTTCGTTTGTCCTTGAGGAGTGCAACAGAAGTGGTAGCGCAGAAGCTGAAGCGGGGGCCCCAACGAGAACTGCGCCAGCGATCAGCAGCATGGATCAGACCAGAGGGCGACATGTACAATGGCTAAGGCTCCTCTTGATCTGACAGGCTTGTGAAGACGAAGATTGGCACTGATCAATCCTCAACTGGATTTGAGAGTGGGCAGCGTCCAAACAGTCGAGCGAGGTCGATTATTAATAAATGAAAGTGAACTAAGAGGAGGAGGAGGAGGAGGAGGAGGAGGAGGAGGATGACTGGATTGATGAAGTGATTGGGGCTGATACATATACTACTTGACAAAGTCGAAGGAGAGCGTGCGAAATTTGGCCCTCCTTTTCTTGCGCTGAATATACCCGAACTTGAACTGGTCATGAGGCCTGAGGATTTTCTTCCATGCTGGAAGCTCACAGACCTCATCGCTTATTTTCACAATGTTCCAATAATTTGGATTTTCCAGCTTTCGACACATAATGCTCAAATTACTGATCGGCCGCTTCAAATCGTGGCTAATTGACACCTCAAACTCGCCGATCAATTTCCCACCCTCGAGCCATGTTCGCACCAGGCAAGTGGTGTAGTAAATCCCCTTAGATTCGCGTTTGACCGCTTTGCTTACATCAGTGGAACACTCGCCCGATGATTTCCATTCCTCTTCATGCTCATCGGAGTCAAGTCCCAAATCAGTAGAAGAGCCAGATGCTGCAATGCTTTCTTGAGTCACTAGATTTTCACCCTGAGTTGCTTGGGTTCCACTTCCAGGGGCCGTTGTGCTCCCCCATTCGGGTCCCCCTTGAGTGCCCCCTTGAGGTTCCCCTTCAGTTCGACCTTCGGCTTCTTGAGAGCCCCCTTCAGTTGCCACTTGAGTTCCCCCTTGAGTGCCCACCTCAGGTCCACCTTGGGCTCCCACTTGGGTACCCCCTTGAGCTGTCACTTGAGTTGCCCCTTGAGCTGTCACTTGAGTTGCCCCTTGAGCTGTCACTTGAGTTGCCCCTTGAGCTGTCACTTGAGTTNTGTCACTTGAGTTGCCCCTTGAGCTGTCACTTGAGTTGCCCCTTGAGCTGTCACTTGAGTTGCCCCTTGAGCTGTCACTTGAGTTGCCCCTTGAGTTCCCCCTTGAGCCGCCTCTTGAGTTCTGTCTTGAGGCCCCCTTTCAGTGCCTTGAGACTCTGCTTGAGTTCCCCCTTGAGCCACCTCTTGAGTTCTGTCTTGAGGCCCCCCTTCAGTACCTTGAGAATCTGCTTGAGTTCCCCCTTGAGTCCCACCTTGAGTCCCACCTCGAATACCACGTTGAGTACCCCCTTCAGTTCCCCCTTGAGTCCCACCTTGAGTCCCACCTTGAGCCCCTGCTTGCATGCCCCCTTGAGACCCGCCCTGAATGCCTTGAGCCTCTGCTTGAGTGCCCCCTTGAGTCCACACTTGGGAACTCTGGGTATTCTGATTGCCTGCGGTCCCTTGAGTTGTAATCACGACAGTAGTGGGAGCTGGGGGAGAAGGAAGCAACACAGGGGAACTTGGAGAGTAGTATATTGCTGGAGGAGGACTGGCCCCAGATTGAGCACCAGGTCTGGAAGTGGTGGTGGGGCTGGGTTGATTGGCTACAGAAGAACGATCAGAAGGTAGAGAAGACCCTGGCGTGATGACCACGGCACCTGGTGGAAGAATGGATCTATCTTCCTGGGGACCACAATCTGCATTTCCTCTGCTGGACTGATTCACTGGTTGGCTTTGAGTTAGAATTTGAGCCCGTATAACTGGTGAGATACCAGGCTGGAAAGAGGGAGGGGGAGGGGGGCTTGAACTTGTCATCACTTGATCGATAAGAGCTGGACGAACTTGCCCTTGCCCAGCTGGTATGTTACTCGTAGAGCTCTGGTACGGCTGTGATGCTGACATGACGGATAGAGAGGAGGAGGACGAGAGTGCACTCGAAGGAGGAGAGAATATCAGCTGAGCAGTTGTTGTTGACGCCATCACCGCTGGTGAGGGCAATACTTGTTGTCCAGGAAGTGGATCAGTGATGGACTTTTGGTGCAAGGAAAGGTCATCCGCAAGGGACCCTCCTGGTTTTGGTCCTGACATCGTTACTTTGTCACCGCTGGCATTGTTGATGCTTGCCAACCGCGCCATCAGCCCAGCCCACGGGGCATTGGTGTAGACGGACGGCTCTGTTTGCCTGAAGTTTTGTCGATCATCCGTGAACGAATCATCTTGGGCAGGGCCCCCCACCACAGCTCCAAACAGGGTGTTTGGATTCGGTTGACGGCTTCTATAGAATTCAAAGCCCTTTCCACATGTGTAGTTTTCGGGATCTGTCTTGAAAGATGGGATTGATGCTCCTCGATGATGCACTCGTTGAGGAGGATTCCGCCCCACTCCAACAACATAACTGCTCCTCCTTGGGTTGTCTCCCAGTATGTAGTCAGCCTGCATCATCAATCAAGTAGCCAATCAATCAGACAAGCAAACAACTCCTTTCACTGTCAAAATCAGTCAAAATTTACCAAAATAAATTAAGCCTAAATATCCCCATCACATAATTATGCTCGAGGCAGCCAAAAATCATCTATGAGCCCCTATACAATTGAAGTGTCATTACAATCATTGCCATCATGGCAACCATAGCCACTACCACCACCATTGCCTACATGTTTGTGGATTTCCTCGACTTTGCATGAATCTGATTGTGCAACACACACAGTCCGTATCTGCTAAGCACAGAATTGAACATCTACTCCTGCAAACAGTTGAGCTTAAACGCAAACTCTGTCCTGACCAGGTTTTTTTATGCTAACTACTCTTTATTGGAGCTGTAGGAAAATCCACCGCAAATAGGACTCCAATACTTGGTTACTGGACACTATGGAGGCCGCCCCCCTTATCCCAGTACTAGCTCTGGTTCATGCAGCCACTATGGTAACAGCAGGTGTTTTCATCCCTTATTTGAATACGCACCCAAGGCTTTAAACCACCAGTACCTTTCCCAGCTAGTTTAGAGAGATGCGTCTTGTTAACTGCCGTATCTTTTGGGGGTCGGGGTACCGGACCAAAATGGGTGGCAGCGCCAGCCAAAAGGAGGCTCGCGCAGGTTCGTATTTCTGTGGTCTGCAGGCCAATTTTAGGGTCGGCATCAATAGCTGAGCGAAGTACAGGTAGTTCAAGTGCGATTACTTTCGTGGAAGCTATGTATATAGTATGTACCAGTCACGCATAGAGCATCAGGGATTGACCATGAACCTGGCCTTCATCTTGACCAGCTCCACGCTATGGTGCAAAGCTGGTACGAAGTTTATACCAGTGGATTGTCAGTGCTAGGGATTACACCCTGGTTGGCTAGCTGGCAGCAACACTACCGTCTTCACCCAAACACAACGCACGGTCATGATAGCTGTATCTGGGGCAGCTTTCAGTCTAGATACTGCGATAATGACTGCCTTCTATTTGGGTGAGAATGGTAGCTGGCATATCAATGCACACTGTTGTTCCAGGACAGTGGTCATTCAAGAGAGAGAGAGAGAGAAATCATGGATGAAGATGAACATCTTTTACATGAAAGATGCCATGAAGCTGGAGTGATGGGGAGGAGGAGTAATGACACGCAATATATGCGTCGATGCAAGGATCGCTGGAGCTACAATTAACATTACATGCAGATCCCATCAGCGCGCAGCAACTTTTGACATCCAAACCATACCCTGCTGTACATCGCACTTCTGGCCTTCACTTGATGGGGCATCACGACTGTGTAGTTGACGACCTTCGTTCGTGTTCACCTGCCTGCTATGGTGGTGCGACAACCTTTTTTTTTTTTTTTAATGAATAAATAAAATTGGAATGGTGGTGCAATAACCTAAGGTAGCCATCACCATCTTGTGCTGTCGATAATCTAGAGGGACTGCTCGCACTCACAGTGGGCTTATGACTCTTATCCCGTTCTGATGGTTCTCGTGGCCAAGGCGATAACCTGGCTGGCAGAGCAAAAAGCGAGCTTGGAAATGACGGGTGTCCTTGTAACCGTGCGAAAGGGGCAAATTATCGATCCAGCACCCAGGGTGATGCTTAGCGAGTTTGAAGGGGCTGTGCTCAACACACATCGAAAGAAGGTTGGACGGTCGGGGTTCTGAGTCGGGTTGAGGCAAGGGGGCATGCGGGGTCCGAGGGGGGGGGGTCAATGGAGGGTCTGCATGAACTGGGGGGTGTGGAAAATGCCTCCCAGACAGCATCAACAGTGTGAGGATGTCACAGAGGCGGAGCAGAAGACATTTAAGGGGAAGTGCGTGGTCTACGACTACATCTCGGTCGGGCAGGCCGTATACAAAAAAGGAGTGCGGATGATGCGCTGCAACTTCTACGGTCAGGTCTTCCGGGGTAACTATGTATCACTTGGCTTGACACTTCACTCAGCTCAACTACTGCAAGAGTGTGCCCGACAAGGCATTGAACGAGATAGCACGGCGGGCCGCTTACCACTTCGAAGGAGGCCAGATGCAGTGAGTGGCGACGTATGTGGAGGATCGCAGTGAGAATGTGCCCCGAGGGGTAACTCAAGGAGCTGCGCAAGCAGATGAGCAGACAAGGGGTGCCGGGAGGAGCAATGGCACAAAGGACGTCGTCGACCTCGAGAGGGAGCCACACGACGGCACCCAGGAGGGCTCCATGAGGATGACCCGTACGTGAGGCGCGTAGGAAAGGATGCTGCTACTCCGCCTGCAGAAGACCCCCTGAGTGCAGTTTTAGGCAGGATGCGAGGGCGGTTGCTGGGAAGAGGAAGGACGTGGACGGGGCTGGCGCAGGGACACAGGCGGAAGAGTATGCAACAACATAAGATGGATGACATGTACATCAGCGAGTGGGCTGCACGGTTCAAGAAGCAGGTCCTTCGGTGGGTGTAATCGAGGGGGGTCTCGTTCAATGCGTTTCGTAATGACGCATGGCGAGATGTGCAGCAGTGCCTACTCCAGTAGTTGGATGGGGTCAATGAGTTGTGGCACCTAGACAGAACGAGATAGTGAGTATCAGGACAATGGAGACTCACTGGCTCGATTTGGCCGTTAAGCTGGAGTAGGTATGCCAGCCATTTAGTGTGACAGGTGCCACCACCCTCTTTGCCGTGAGGAAATCATGAGATGGGAGACCTATTGTGATTTTCCTCGCCGCTCGAGGAGTCATCATGTACCGGACGATCAATCAAGAGGGAGAGTCGGACAACGCAGTGCACGTCCTGCGTACGTGGATTTGCATCTTCCAGACTTTCGAGTACGAAGGGTCTCATGCAATCAATGCGATATGCACAGATTCGGCATCCTCCTACATAGTTCCTGCGAAGGCCTTGGCCTTGCAGAGCATCCCCTCAAAGTTGAGAAGGATCACATGGCTCCCATGCTTCATCCATGTCTGCAACAAATTGTTGTCAGGCACAGGGACGATTAACACGTAGGCAGAGGAGTGTATCATGAGAGTGAGAGCCCTGGTGCTATTTTTCAAATCGCATCAAGTTGCTCTTACTTTGTGTCGAGAGTGGTGCCATGATTTGGGGCTCATTTTTCGTGCGAGACGTGATTCACGTCAGTGCACACCATGTTGCAGCGAGTGGAGGCCCTGCAGGATCTGTTGTAGGATATGATGCGAGTGGAGGGAGCGCGGGCTTGGGCATCGATCGCGTGGTCCGCAGACGTGTGCAAGATGGCTCATTGGGCAAAAAGGTAGATCAAGTGGCAGCCGTGGTGGTAGGAGGTTACTTCACTACGCACGATGATGGAGCCGATGATGTAGCTCCTTCGAAGGAGGATGGACTGTGGTGGTCAGTTTATGTCACTCGTCGTAGAGTGGAGTATGTGGGATCCCTGTCTTCCTTTGGGTAGGTCCTTCATAGAGAGGGTCATCAAGCGATTGCAGGAACGTATACAACGCATGCAGGAGCCAACACACATGGCGGCATTCCTACTGAACCCCCGCAGGCGGCTTGTGCGGTACTCTGGCGTGGTGAGTCCGTACGATGCATGGCTTGTAAGGCAAGCCAATTCATCCATCCTCACCCAGAATGGATTTAGTCAGGATGGCCGTGACTACCCGACGCCACACTGCTGTTTAAGGATTTTCATTTATGCACAGGTAGGTACGGGGATTATGGTGGTCGTGAGGGAGATGCCCGATTTGCTCCGGGGACAGTGAGACAATTGAGTGTGTTGCTTGGTGGTCAAGGTTTGGATGCAAGGTGGCTGAGCTACAACGGTGCGCTATTCGTGTAATGCATATGTGGTCCTGCACCTCTTATGTGGAGATGGGCAGTCCACAAGGGCATTCACACGAAGAAGCGCAATAGGTTGGCGTTCGTGAAGGTGGTGAAGCTCACTGAGATCACCACGGACATGTGGTTGATGACCTATAGGCAGACATGCAGTGTTTACATCCTTCCACAGTAGGGAAACCAGAGTATGTTGGACGCAACTGCTGGTATTGATTTGGAGCCCGTGTGGACAGGCACTCGGGAGGGAATGGCAGAAGAGAAGTTCGCTGAGCAGATTGCCACCATCTCCAAGGACCCCATCGACATTGCCACCATTTCCAAGGACCCCATCGACATTGCCACCATCTCCAAGGACCCCATCGACATTGCACCACCGCCCAATGTCGTGTCCATGTTCGGACTCTAGGGACGATGGCTCTGACAGCGAGCACGACTTGGGCGCAGAGGAGGATTACCCCCACCTTCCCATTTCGATGGAGATAGAGGAGGGGCAGTGGAGTGATGGGGAGGGGAATGTCGTTCAAAGGTACAGACGGATGTCGATCGAGGGGGAGGAGATGGGGGGACTTGAGGATTTACCGCCCAATGTCGTGACCATGTTCGGACCCTAGGGACAATGGCTCTGACAGCGACCACGGCTTGGGCACAGAGGAGGATAACCCCCGCCTTCCCATTCCAATGGAGATAGAGAGGGGCAATGGAGTGATGGGGAGGCGAATGGTGGTCGGAGGTACAAACGGATGGCGATCGAGCGGGAGGAGATGGGGGGGCTTGAGGATTTACACCCTGTAAATCCTCAACCCCCCAAATTTCAAGCCCCCCCCCATCTCCTCCCGCTCAATCGCCATCCGTCTGTACCTCCAACCGCCATTCGCCTCCCCATCACTCCACAGCCCCTCCTCTATCTCCATCGGAATGGGAAGGTGGGGGTCATCCTACACTGAGCCCAAGCTGTGCTCGCTGTCAGAGCCATCTTCCCTAGGGTCTGAACAACCGGCAGGTGGGATCCACCTCACGAAGAGTCAGCACTCCAGCCCGAACACGTGCGGCCCCTACTGCAGGGGCAACTTCACCCCCTTTGTCCCCTGCCACGGAACCTGTGCCCACTTCACCCCCTGTTGGGACACCTGCACCACCCGCATCTCATGTTGGGAGACGTGCACCCCCTGCGCCCCCTGCA